CCTTCATGGAATTTATCCAAGGCGTGCCCATAATCACGTTGTAGATAGCCGGGACGTCGACTACCGCGAAGTTAACGATTCTCGTCACTTCTTTCGCGACGACCGGTAGTCGGATTGATCCCAAGGTCATTGACGTTTCGCCGGAGAAACTAGTCAGCGGTTTTGGAATCGGCTCGACTTCCGAGAGGTCGATTCCCATGCGTGCTAGCGTGTTGCGGAAGATGACGTTGACCGTGCTTCCGGTATCAAACAGGATTCGCGCAACCTCTAGATCGCTTATCACTAAATCGATGACAAGGGGATCGGCATGCGGTTGGTCGATTCCGCCGGTTTCAGCATCGTTGAAAGAGATTACTCCTGTCGGAGAATCGTCCATCGGCACCTTCCAACTCGAGCCGGTTTCGGCTTTACGTTGGTAGGATTTTATTGATGAGATGGTGTCGCTAAAATACGGCGATTCGCCGATGATCATGTTGATTTTTCGGCGGTTAGCATCGTTACCCTTCTCGTCTGTTTTTCGTCCGCGTTTTTCGCCCGATTGATTTCCCTGAGGCGGGGTCTGCGCGTTTTTGTCATTCTTCGGGACGCGGTCCGAATCGCGGATGAGATCCTTGACACTTGATATTTCGGAAAGTTCTCGCGCGACTAACTTTGCGGCCAGCCTGGCGCCGAGAACTTTACAATTCACAGTGGAATGACCATGGGTTTGGTGGAGGTCGCAGAAAGAATTCTCATCGTAACTCGAATTTCCCGTCCACGTGTTTCCCGTAGTTCGCCCTTGCTCCGAACCGGAGTTGATAACGTAGTTATGCGCCCCTCGGAGATCCTGTCCCTCGTGATGGACGAATTTGTCGTTACGAGAGCTTTTCTTTTTCTGCTTCTGCTCGGACGCGTTATCTCTTGCGGATGTTTTCTTCGGCTTATGCTTTTCGGACAGGACTTTAGTTTCCTCCTCGATAGTTATGAAGTCGGTGGCCTTATGGAGCGCATCCTGGATCGTCCGCGGTTTCTCGAGAGTTATCCATCTGCGGAACTCCGATTTATACCAGAGCGATTTTCTTAACGCGTCGATGGCGGCTTTGTCACTGATCCCGCTAACCCTAGCCATGACGAGTTTGAATCTACTCATGAAATTGCGGAGAGATTCGTCTTCCTCGTGCACCAAGCTCCAGAGATCGGCGTCGGAGGTCTCCGGGTTGATGAACATCGAGTACTGTTTCAGGAACTCCGAAGCCAATCGACGGAAACTTCCGATCGAATTTCGCCTAAGTTTGGCGAACCATTCGAGCGCGGCTCCCTCTAGGTTTTCGACGAAGAGGCGGCAGTAACCTGCGTCTTTTTCGTGGTCCTTGAGCTTGGCTCGTCCCATGGTGATCTGGAATGCTTGCAGGTGTGCTTTGGGATCGGTCGTCCCGTCGTAAGTTGGCACCTTAAGCTTTCCGGGATCGGGCAATTTGATCTCGGTGATGCGAGCCGTGAAGGGCGTTTTCCGAGACTCGTACAGCAGCCGATTGATCTCGGGTGCGGCGCTGGTCGCGTGGTGAATCTGAGATTTCACCGCTTTTACCGCTGCGGCCGTTTTGGTAATGTACTCGCGGAGATCGCGCATCTCGGTCAGACCGCCAGCAGTTTTCCGACCTTGGTACTTTAAAACATGTTATTGTATTTTTTATTTTAAATAACAATCACTTTTTTGATAAATTTCAATGGTAACTTTTAAATAATTTATTGTTTTATTTTTCTTAAATAATTTACTGATTTAAAAAAAAAAAATATAAAGCAAAACCAAAAACCAATTCTAAAAACTAAAACCCAAAACCAAAAAGTTCAAAACGCATTGTTCTGGATAACATATTGTTATAGTTTTTTCTTTTGTTTATTTACAAAATAAACTATTGCAATTTTTTTTAAAAAACCTTTTGTCATCTTTTTAGTTTTAAATTAGATGTTCGATTATTTGAAATTTGTTTGTTGGTAATATCAGTTCAAACTAGCTCAGTGGATCTAAAAATTAAAAACCCAAACAAAAGATGAAAATCAAAAATAGAAACTTAAAAATTAAAAACCAAAATCTAAAAATAAAAACTGAAACTAAAAACTAATGAAAAAAATCGTCACCACAAATTTTGATAAACTGATTTTATATCGTAACATTCTTTAAATTAAGACATAACCCAATTATATAAATTTTAGTTATAAAAAATTTTCGCGCTATCAAGCGCGGATCAAAATCTAGTATATGTTATAATGGAGAATTTACCAAATGACTAAAAACTCGTATATATTTCAAAATTTATTGGATATAATTAGAAAGAACATGGTTGGGAGTTGAAACGTAAGGATACAAGTTAGGTAGCTTTTATGAACAAACGTTCACCAGCTAATACCTATCAAGAAAGAGTAACTCGAAAGTCTTTACAATTACAACTATATTTATATAAAAATTATTTTATTAGTAACAGAAACAAAAACAATTTAAACTTTTTTTGTTAAAGGCTAACAACTAAACTGATAGAGAAGCATATTTGAAAGATAAGAAAAGATTACGAATGCGTTCCAAAAAGAAAAAGAAAAGATTATGAATATTTGTTATTAAATGTTTATGAATGCTGGATAGATGTCTGGATTATCAATTAAGTTTATTTAGTTTTTAAAAATACAGAAATGGTTGTAGTTGTAGGAGTCATGTTTTATAAAACAAAACAAAAACTATTTCTGTATATATATCTTTAACTTTTACAGATACATTAGATATAAATAAATAAAATTCTACAGATTAAATTATAGTGTTAATTCTCTACAAGTACAACCACTTATCCATCTTATAGTTTTTTAGATGAAATTTATTAATAATTTAATATAAACACACAAAGTATATGTTTTTCGATTAAAAAAAAAACACAAAGTATATGAAAAAATTAAAGCAGAATATGTTTGATATAAATCTTTATTTCATAAAAATTGGAGAAAGTAAGTATAAAAATAGAGGGAAAAAACTTGATAATGTTCAAATATAAATACGGTCCTTAAACAATAGGAGGTGGTGGGGATTTAGTTGGCTAACTGACACCACCGAAGCTGTAGGAGCAACGTTCTCTCTCCTTTCACTCTCAACGGTAAGAATCTCCTCCGCCATTTTTCACTTCTATCTCTTCTTCGTGAATATTCTCCTTTTGAATCCAAATGTCTCTGCTCCACATTGCCCTTCAAGTTTAATCTCTTTGATCTATTAGTCGAATTCGTGAATCGCCATCAGCACTCAGATTTAATTCTTTTTTTTTTTTGTGGCTTTTGATTGTGGGATCCTTCGATTTGATTTAGGTGGCGATCTGATTGATATTATTATTTGTATGTATCACTGTTCTGAGATTTATCTATCTGTTCTTGTCTCCCGTCTAGTTTGGTACTAAAAAAAAAAAAGAAATGGCAAGGAAGAAGATAAGAGAGTATGATTCAAAGAGACTTGTGAAGGAACATTTCAAACGTCTGTGTGGTCGAGACTTGCCCATCAGATCCGTTCAGGTAAAATATTCTTTCTTTTCCATTGCATTGTTTTCTCCGTCATGAATCACATGTTTTTTTTTGTCTTGCTGCTTATTATTTTCTTGTTAGATTAAGAATGTGTCTTTTAGACCAGTTAATTTATTTGTTTTTACTCCTTATTGTTTTCTTGTCAAGACAATAAGTTTGTCTTTTAGACCAATTTTGTTTAACATTTTACCCCCCCCCCCCCCCTAAATGCTGCTTCATATTGTCAGAAAATCTCAGCAGATCTTTGCTTTTGTGGTTGATCCAAATTATTGTCTATGATGACTACTGCATAATCACATTGGCCATGACTCTTTCCATCAACATTATTTGGAATTGTTCTGTTTCTTGTTCTCAAACTGAATTACTGCTCTCACCTGTTCTCTTGTGTTAACGCTTTCATGTGTAGATAAATCAAGAGACTGATCTGAATGAGCTAGTAGCAAAGGAGCCTTGGCTCTCATCTGAGAAGCTCGTCGTCAAACCTGACATGTTATTTGGTAAGCGTGGCAAAAGTGGTTTGGTTGCCCTGAATCTTGATTTCGCTGATGTTGCAACTTTTGTCAAAGACCGCTTGGGCAAAGAGGTAACTAACTTTTTGAGTTTGAGCTTCAGCTAAATGATCTTTTCTTTATCTTTTTGCTGTTGTTTCCTTCCACTTTAGCTATCTCTATCTATCATCTACAGGTAGAGATAAGTGGATGCAAAGGACCCATAACAACCTTCATTGTTGAACCCTTTGTCCCACACAACGAGGAGTTCTATCTCAATATCGTCTCCGATAGACTTGGCTGCAGCATCAGCTTTTCAGAGTGCGGAGGTATTGACATCGAGGAGAACTGGGACAAGGTATTTTATTTCGCATTTGATTCCTAGTGTCTGCTTTACTGTCTTCTTACCATAAAACCTAAGCTTTTGAGTCGAGAGTACACTTTCTTGTATAGGTCAAGACCATATCTGTACCAACCGGTTCATCCTTGACACCTGAGATATGTGCACCTCTTGTCGCTACCCTTCCTCTAGAGGTATATTCAATGCTGAATATCAGTGAGAACTGCGATTTTTTTTTGTTGAAACGTACTTATACGTTTCCCACGTACAGATCAAAGGGGAACTTGAAGACTTTATTCAAGTTATCTTCACCCTATTCCAAGGTATGTTAAAAGGTCACTGACTTAGTCAAACAGATTCACAAATGACCAACAACTGAAGCTTTTTGTTCTCTTCTTTTACCCAGATCTTGATTTTACTTTCTTGGAGATGAATCCTTTCGCATTGGTTGATGGAAAGCCTTACCCTCTGGATATGAGGGGTGAGCTTGATGACACTGCTACTTTCAAAAACTTTAAGAAGTAAGTATATCTCAACTTTCTTCAACTGTTTGACGAAAAGAGCTACAAGAAGTCATGAGAAGCCATTGAGTTCCTGCTGCTGTATATGCTTAACCTCTCACATAATTCAGGTGGGGCGACATTGAGTTCCCTATGCCATTTGGAAGAGTGATGAGCCCCACGGAGAGCTTCATCCACGGTCTAGATGAGAAGGTATCATTAACAGTTTAGCGTTTTGGGAAACATCAGTTTCTGCATGACTCGTTATGAACCTTATTGTATATGCAGACAAGTGCTTCTTTGAAGTTCACCGTTCTGAATCCCAAGGGAAGGATCTGGACTATGGTAGCTGGAGGAGGTGCAAGTGTCATCTACGCTGATACCTTATGTTTCTTTATGGAAAAAAAAAAAATCACACTTTGTTGGTTAACACTGCATTGATTTCTCCTTGAGCCTTACCCTCTGAGATGTTTTCTAAAATGTTATCCAGGTTGGAGATCTGGGGTATGCATCTGAGCTTGGAAATTATGCTGAATACAGTGGAGCACCCAAAGAAGACGAGGTTTTACAGTATGCTAGAGTCGTCATCGATGTAAGATATTTTTTCTTTGCTTTCTCCTTCCACATTAAAATTTCGAAAACCAACCAAACATAAAGACACTTGTGACTTATAAAATACCAATTCTGCAGTGTGCTACGGCGAATCCGGATGGAAAAACCAGAGCACTAGTGATCGGAGGTGGAATTGCTAACTTCACAGATGTTGCTGCTACTTTCAATGGCATAATCCGAGCTCTCAAGGAAAAGGTAAGCAAGAAAATAGTATAAATAAGCATAAATGAGAGCTTTTATTCAACACATTTTTACTTTTTGAACAGGAAACAAAGCTGAAAGCAGCAAGGATGCATATATATGTGAGGAGAGGAGGACCAAACTACCAAAAGGGACTTGCTAAAATGAGATCACTTGGAGATGAAATCGGTGTCCCCATCGAGGTATGTAAATAAACTCAATACATTTCCGCTTACTCGATTTTAAATTTATAATAACTGTTTTATCTCTCTGTTTGATTTCAAGGTTTATGGTCCTGAAGCAACAATGACAGGTATCTGCAAGGAGGCAATTCTCTTATGATATTATTGACTGGTGAGAAGGATTAGTTGTTTTATGAACATATATTTCTAGATCGATAGAGACTAACGAGTTTACTCTATCAAAGGTCTCAGAGCTGTGTCATCCTCGGAAGCCATGGCGGAAACAAGATCACAACAACTGTTAAAGGACGCAGTGGTTCGTGAGACGTCGGAAGTAATCGGTTCAAAAATTGTGAGAATGGAGGAGAGGATTGCAAAGTAGAATAACAAGATCGATAAGAGTGTAGCTGATATGTTCGAAGCGATTCGATTGATTTCGGAGAAGACTGAGAAGGTGATTACCAGTATTGAACAAAATCATCGAGATACTACGTCTGGTGTTTCAACGACTCAAGAAATTCACAACACGGTTGATGACCAACCTCGTTAGTCAAGATCTGGTATGAATTCTCAGTATAATGCCATGATGAGATTAGGTCGACTGGAATTTCCGCGTTTCAATGGTGATAAGGTCAGGGATTGGTTGTTCAAGGTCGAGGAATTTTTTTTCTCATTGACAATACTCCTGAGGAATTGAAAGTGCGAATCTCAGCGATTCACTTTGATACACCAGCGTCTACCTGGCACCGAGCAATTATGCAGTCAGATCTTGGTCCAGACCTGTTATTGGATTGGAAAACTTATAGGAATCTGTTGATTGAGAGGTTTGAAGAAGTTTTGGATGATCCTATTGCGGATTTGAAGCAATTACAGGAGACGGAGGGAGTTTCTGAATATAATGAGAAGTTTGAGATCATAAGGGCTAAGGTGAAGTTGTCTGAGCAGTACTTAATCAGTGCTTACTTAGATGAGTTGAGGAATGATACACAAATGCATGTGAGGATGTTTCAACCTCAATCAGTACATTGATATCTCATATTTTTATAGGTTTTTAATATCTCATCTTAACTCATATTGATTATTTAGGTTGAATTTAGAAGTCCTTACTGTATATATTTGTTCATTTGTATAAATCAGGGTTTAAAGTGCACAAGAAGGAGTTTGGGGCAAAAATCAGGGATCAATCTGTATTTTTTAAGACGTTTGGGGGCAGAAACAGAAGAAGATGAGAATCCAGTGGCCAAAATTGCAAATCCTGGATATTCGTTGGGTCTTTACTGCAAAATCAGAAGTCTACGGGTTGATTTGAGAGGGTGTCTCTGCAAATTAGAAAGGTTCAGGGGCCATTTTGTAAAGAATCAGAAGTTCAGGGATCTGTCTTGCAAATACCCAAAACTCCACCGTTGGAGATCACGAGCTCTCTCTTCCTGGGACGGAGCTTTTCAACGAGATTGAAGGACGAATCCCGACGTCGATCCCAGATCTTCCAAGGCGGATCCTAGTGAGGGAGAAGAAGTTCGTGGTGGTTTAGAAACTTTCGCAGAGGTTTGTGGCGAAGTGAGACGATCCGTGACGGAGAGATTAGGACACGGCCACGATTCCGGTGTGGTCACGGCTAGGAGGAGAGTTGAGGTGGCCGGGATTGATGATTAGAGCACCGGTGAGTTGAGACACGGCAGAGAAGTGGAGTTCGCGGCTTAGAATCACGACGTGAGCTTGGACGCGACGTATTGGACCAATTTCGCGGGTCAACCACCGTAGGACGAAGCCTGCCGTGGCCAAGAGTCGACTAAACCACCAAGGAAGTTTCGCGGGTGACACCGCGGTGAGACGAGGTCGCGAAGCGAAGAGGATGACCACGGCTCGTAATCGCGGGTGGTTGATGGCCACGGTGAAGCTGAATGTGCATGGTTTGACAGGTTCATTCCGATTTGACCCGGTTAAATCTGGTCAAACCAACTCGAATTTACCTCTCTATATATAGTTTTACACCCCAAAAACCCTAATGTATCTCATTTTCTCTCAAGAACTTGTCTTTCATTGTAAAAGCTTGAAACTTTATATCATTTTAAGGAAGTATTTCATATTATATCTTGTTTCTCATTCTCATTAACATGATTAGCCTTGAATCCATCATGGATTTAAGGTTTCTCATGGAGATTAGAGAGTAGACATTTTTGAATCCATGGATTAGGTAGATTTAAGGTGATTAAGTGTAAATCCAAGTGTTTCCTTGCTAGTAGAGTGTGTTTAATGCTATTCTAGACTTGATCACTCTAGGATTGAACCTTTGTCATTTCCTGCTCATAAGGTGTATGTTGAAATGATTGAACCAACTTTACTTAGCTTTAAGACTACCTAGCCAATGACCATTTGTATCTAGGGGTTTTAGATACTTATTAAACCTACTCTTAACGATTGCTTGAATTAATTGAGTCACTGACCATTTGTGTTTGATTAATCAAGCAAATGAGCATTTGTCTAGACCTAGAACTTGCTTAGCTAAGTTGTTTAGACTTAAGGATACATTTTGATTAAAACTTTAATTGCTTTAAATCAATTGCCTTAATCCCATGGGTTCCACCTTATCATTTGATTGAAAGTGTTCTTGCATTTATTTCTTGATTGGATTTGAGATTTGAGAAAAACCTTTGTTTATACTTTTAGGATCTTATCTTGTTACAATCATCCACCTCTCTTATTTGCTTAGATTAAGAAATTTTGTGTATTCTTAGTGTTTAGATCACTAGTTCCCTGTGGTTCGACAATCTTAAATACTACATTGATTTTCTCTAAGGACTAAAATCCCTTATCAAATTTGGCGCCGTTGCCGGGGAACTATTTAGATTTATCATTAGGATTTCAGATTTTCTTGAGACTAAGTTTTATTTTCTTATTTTGTTTTTCTTTGTCTAGTTACTAACCTTTTATTCTAGCTTTTGTTTTTTTTTTGTAGTAATGGCTGCAAGCTACTTTCATTGGCCACAAGAAGAAGAAGACACATTTGAAGATGACATTGAAGATGACATTGAAGATGAGCCAAATGTGAAGCCACCCTTTGACGAAAGTGTACTCACACCAGAACAGAGTTTGAAGGTGGATGAGCCTTGCAAAGAAAACCCAATGTTGAGAAGGAGTGACATGGCAGCGATGTTGAGGTTAAATTTTATGCAACATCGGGCAACACTAGAGGGAAGAGAGCTCACAGACCGTGAGATAAGGGTTGCTCATGAGCTCAAAGAGGTATTTTATTGGGTTCCACCTACCCAACTAAAAGGTATATGTGACTCTACTTTTGAGCTTCATGATTTTGAAGATAATTGCTTGCCTTGTGTTGAAAATATTACCTCTGATTTGAATTCTCATGTGCTCATCAATGAATGTCTTGATCTGATATGTGAAACTAGGAAGCTAGATGACTTGAGAATAGAAAAGCTTGTTAGAGATCATCTTGAAGTTTGTTTTGATAAGAATTATCTTTATGCTTCATTTGATCTTGAATATGACTTTTTGATGCTTGATGAACCTAGACCTCTTCTTGAGCTAAGTGATTTTGGGGATGAACTTGATGTGGATAAGCTCTTGCTTGAGATAGAAAGCCCCCATGTTGAAAATAATCATGAGAATGTGAATATTGTGCTTTATTTGATTGATGGAGATAGAGTTGACTACTTTGTTAAAACTTCGTTTGAAACTCTAGTTGAATTTGTGTTTCCACCAAATGCATTTGATTCTCATGACCATTTGAACTTCAAAGAGCATCTCATTATTCATGATACATCTTTAGTGAAGCTCTTTGATGAAAAATCTGTCTATTTTCTATGGACAGTAGTGTGTTCCTTTGCACACTTGGTTTCTTGTTCTTGTAGGAGAAGGACCAAAGGTGCATTGTCTCAGCCTTTTGATACTTATGATTAGCAAGCACACAAAGTCAAGCTAGAGACTTAAAACAAGCGCACTTGGGAGGCATTCTCATGTTTATCATTTGTATATATTTCTCTCTATCTTTTATCTTGTTTTCGTGTGTTTGAATAAGCTTAGGGACAAGTTTGAGGGAGTTCTAAATCTTTCCAAGAGGTCATATCAAATTTCCAAGGTCACAGCAAGCTCTCTTTCCTCATCCCATTCTCTCATCAAGGCCAGCTTCAAGTAAGTGCATTCTACCTTTGTATATACTTAGTTCATCATGTTTTATTTTCCTTTGATCTCTCTTTCAAGCTTACTCTCACACAAGGGACTGTGTGAAAAAAATTTGGGGGAGAGTCTATTATCTCACATTGTGTTTTGTTTTATTTTCTTGTCATGAGTCTCATGCATTGCATTGTACATACTTATTGGCATAGAAGAATCAAAAAAATTGAAAATTTTCAAAAACAACAAAAATAAGCATTCAGTTGCATCATTGCATCTTTAAGATTGAGTCTAGAAGCATTTAGATTGCATTCATGCATTTGGAGTTGACGTCGTAAATAACACATGCTTAGAACACAAAATGACACCTAGCTAATCATAACAAGTAGCCTAAGCATCTCTTGAAAAGCTTGCATGTTTCGAGCCTTGAAAACTCATCTTGAAACTTGTTTGCTTGCTTGAGATTGACTTTTTTTTTTGAAGCCAACTCCAAACTGAACTTGAAGTGAATAAACTTAATTTCTCTTGCAAATGCGCACTTGCATACTTGGTCATGGATTATACACATTTGGGCTATCTTATTCCATTTTTACCACTCTCTATTAACCCAAATGGCACCTCCAAACCCTTAAACCCTTACCATTCCTTGAAGCCAACATTAAGTTGCTTGAGTGAGCCCTTTTTGTGAAAGCTAGTCATGTGCAAAATCTTGAGAGTATTAAGAGCAACAATGGTTTGTTCTTATCTTATGCTAGCGCTAGGACCTCATTTTAGCTAGCACTTAGGATGGTATTTGGGTTTGTGAGTTTGATTTTGATCTTGGATTGCGAGGTGAAAAAGAAAGAAATGAAAAGAGTGAGCCAAAGAGCAATAAAAAGAAAAGAAGACCACTAGGGATTATAAAAAAAAAAAAAAGAGAGAGAGAAGAGATGAAAGCTCTAGAATCCTTTAGTAAAATCTCTTTATAACTTAAAGAAAAGAAACAAAAAGATTTGAGATAGACAAAGAAAATAAAAGAAAAGATAGGAATAAAGAGCTAAATGTGAGAGTGTTGAAAAAGATCCCTAGTTGGCTAAAAACAAATGAGAAAGTGTGATAATTGGGTGAGTGTTGAAGATGGGTAATCTTTTGGATTTTGGGGCTTTGAAAGAAGAATATTTGAGCTTAGAATCATTTAGGAAAGGGGTAGAATGATGAGAACAAGTCATTGTATGCATGAATTGCTTCTTTTCTTAGATAAGTTTTGCATAATGATCCAGCTACTATCTTTGAGAGTAATCCACCATAAAAAGAATGCATTTGAACCCCTTTTGTTTCACATTCAACCTTTTTGCTCACCAAGCCAAATGATTGAGATCAAATGCCCATTTGTGAGACTTCACCTTGTGTGTGTGTGTATAAATGAATGTGAGAGTTGGTTGAAGGAACTTGTTTATTGATGAGTATTGCATCTTGCTTAAAGGCATAAGAGTATTTTGATAGGCCTAGAGAAGCTAGAGTATAATAAGAGAGTATGATCATGCTATTTGCTATGTTTCTTTAGGATGTTAAGTTGAGTTCTAAGAATAGTTTTTCTTGGTTATAAGCTCTCATTTTCATATTTCTCTACCTTGAATTTTTGAAAAGTTTACTTGAGGACCAGTAAAGGACTAGTGTGGGGGAATTGATATCTCATGTTTTTATAGGTTTTTAATATCTCATCTTAACTCATATTGATCATTTAGGTTGCATTTAGAAGTCTTTATTGTATATATTTGTTCATTTGCATAAATCAAGGTTTAAAGTGCACAATAAGGAGTTTGGGGCAAAAATCAGGGATCAATCTATATTTTTTAAGACGTTTGGGGCATAAACAGAAGAAGACTAGAATCCAGTGACCAAAGTTGCAAATCCTGGATATTCGTTGGATCTTTACTGCAAAATCAGAAGTCTACGGGTTGATTTGAGAGGGTGTCTCTGCAAATTAGAAAGGTTCATGGGCCATTTTGTAAGGAATCAGAAGTTCAGGGATCTGTCTTGCAAATACCCAAAACTCCACCATTGGAGATCACGAGCTCTCTCTTCCTGGGACGGAGCTTGCCAACGAGATTGAAGGACGAATCCCGACGTCGATCCCAGAGCTTCCAAGGCGGATCCTGGTGAGGGAGAAGAAGTTCGTGGTGGTTTAGAAACTTTCGCAGAGGTTTGTGGCGAAGTGAGACGATCCGTGACGGAGAGATTAGGACACGGACACGATTCCGGTGTGGTCACGACTAGGAGGAGAGTTTGAGGTGGTCGGGAATGATGATTAGAGCCCCGGTGAGTTGAGACACGGCATAGAAGTGGAGTTCGCGGCTTAGAATTGCGACGTGAGCTTGGACGCGACGTATTGGACCGATTTCGCGGGTCAACCACCGCAGAACGAAGCCAGCCGCGACCAAGAGTCGACTAAACCACCAGGGAATTTTAGCGGGTGACACCGCGGCGAGACGAGGTCGCGAAGCGAAGAGGATGACCACGAATCGTGATCGCGGGTGGTTTATGGCCGCGGTGAAGCTGAATGTGCATGGTTTGACCGGTTTATTCCGGTTTGACCCGGTTAAATCTGGTCAAACCAACTCGAATTTACCTCTCTATATATAGTTTTACATCCCAAAAAACCCTAATGTATCTCATTTTCTCTCAAGAACTTGTCTTTCATTGTAAAAGCTTGAAACTTTATATCATTTTAAGGAAGTATTTCATATTATATCTTGTTTCTCATTCTCATTAACATGATTAGCCTTGAATCCATCATAGACTTAAGGTTTCTCATGGAGATTAGAGAGTAGACATTTTTTGAATCCATGGATTAGGTAGATTTAAGGTGATTAAGTGTAGATCTAAGTGTTTCCTTGCTAGTAAAGTGTGTTTAATGCTATTCTAGACTTGATCACTCTAGGATTGAACCTTAGTCATTTCCTGCTCACAAGATGTATGTTGAAATGACTGAACCAACTTTACTTAGCTTTAAGACTACCTAGCCAATGACCATTTGTATCTAGGGGTTTTAGATAGTTATTAAACCTACTCTTAATGATTGCTTGAATTAATTGAGCCAATGACCATTTGTGTTTGATTAATGAAAGCAAATGAGCATTTGTCTAGACCTAGAATTTGCTTAGCTAAGTTGTTTAGACTTAAGGGTACACATTGATTGAAACTTTAATTGCTTTAAATTAATTGCCTTGATCCCATGAGTTCTATCTTATCATTTGATTGAAAGTGTTCTTGCATTTATTTCTTGATTGGATTTGAGATCACCTTTGTTTATACTTTTAGGATCTTAGCTTGTTACAATCATCCACCTCTCTTATTTGCTTAGATTAAGAAAGTTTATGTATTCTTAGTGTTTCGACAATCTTAAATACTACTTTGATTTGCTCTGAGGACTAAAAACCCTTATCATATGTCATTGCTTTGTACTGGGAAGATTGTATGAAATGGCACATCCAAAAAAGCAGCCTTCTTGAACAGGTACTAAGAGTTCTTTCAACAAGAATTTAACATCTCACAAGAAGGAAGAGGAGAGTAAAGCGTTAGTTCCTTTTACTAGAGAACATAACAAGACTCCGATCATACAATTTCGGAAGTTTTTAACTCTAACAGAAATGAGTGACAGTAGAGCTAAAGGTCTATGCTACTATTGTGATGCGAAGTTCTCACCAGCTCGTTTATTGACACACAAGAAGGCTCAACTGTATCTGATGGATGCTAATGAGGAGGAAGAAGAAGATGCGGAGGTTAGAGAAATATTAGAACAACAAGAAGACTATGATATTGCTCATATTCTGTCAATGGGGTGGCTGGTACCTCAGATTACACTACAATGAAGGTCAAGGGAATTCATTCAAAAAGCCAGTATTTGTGTTGATAGATTTTTGTCCTACACACAATTTTATGGATACCAGAGTAGCAGAGAGGCTTGGTTGTAATGTGAAACCACCAGGATTGGCCAGAGTTACAGTAGCTGATGGTGGTCAATTACGTGTAACTGGAAGGATTGAGAAGTTAAAATGGAATTTTCAGAGTCATGTTTTCCAAGTAGACTTTTGGTGACTGCATTGGGAAATTTTGATATGGTGTTGGGAGTGCAGTGGCTGAGAACCTTGGGTCCTATTACGTGAGATTTTGATAAATTGGTCATGCATTTTAAGTTTGGACAAAAAAGAGTAACTCTGAATGGTATACATCCAGGATTAATATACGAGTCTAGAGCTTCAAAGATCAACAAGAACCATCAATGATATACGCTTATGATCAATGGGAAGTGATGAATGCCGAGTTTTGCTCTATAGAAGAAGCTAGTGGTAAGGGAAATATGGAACCTGCAATTCAACTACATTTGACAGAATATGCAGACATATTTCAAGAACCAACGAAGCTACCACCATTCGAAGATAACCACAACCACAAGATACCATTGTTGGAAGGAGCTGATCCAGTGAACCAAAAACCCTATCGGTATGCTGAAGAATGAGTTAGATAAAATGGTTCAAGACATGTTAACAAGTAGTACTATTCATCCAAGTTGCAGTCCTTATGCTTCACCGGTTATATTGGCTAAGAAGAAAGATGGATTTTGGAGGTTATGTGTAGATTTTATAGGATTGAATGAGTTAAGAATCAAAGCTAAGTTCCCTATACCACTGATTGAGGACAATGGATGAACTAGGAGGCTCAGTGGTATATTCTAAAATAGACTTGAGGGCAGGGTATCATCAGGTGAGGATGGACGTGGAGGATATACATAAAACACCATTCAAGACACATAGCGGTCATTACGAGTAATTAGTGATGCCATTTGGCCTCACAAAACACCTGCTACTAGCCCTGCAAGTTTTAACCGAACCGATCAAGTCGAACCGAACCGAACCAAAATTTTTGGTTTTCGGTTCGGTTTTGGTCTAGATTTTGGTTTGGTTCGAGATGGTTTTGAAAATTAATTCGGTTTTAGGTTTGGTTTTTGATTTTTTTTTTTTTTGAAAATTATGAAAACCAAAAATATCCAAAATACCCGAAATTCCGAACCGAATTATCCGACATAGCCGAATTTAACCGAAAATAATCGAATTTAACCGAAAATATCCGATTGTTTTAGAAAATTATACCAAAATCTACCTGAAACAAAAAAAAATCGGTTAATTCGGAAATTAAATTTAAGATCGAAAATAACCGAAAACCGAACCGAACCGAACCGAACCATTTTTTTCGGTTCACTTCGGTAGAATTCTGGCTGAACCGAATAAACCGAAACCAAAAATACCCGAACCAAATAAACCGAAATATCCGAACTCGCAGGGCTATCTGCTATGTTCATAGATCTTATGAATGTAGTTTTCAGAGAGTTCTTGAGGAAGTTTGTACTTCTTTGACGATATACTGGTTTACAGTAACTTTTTGGAAACACATACTGATCATCTCAGGAAGGTCTTTCAAGTCATGATGAGTAATAGTCTATTTGCTAAGAAGAGTAAATTTGTCTTTGCGACTAATAAGGTGGATTACCTTGGTCACTATATTGAAGAGAAGGAAATTTCTACAGATTCTAATAAGATGATAGCTGTAACAGAGTGGCCTAAACCAGAGAACTTGAAGCAACTTAGAGGATTTTTGGGTTTGGCTGGTTACTATCGAAGGTTTTTCAAGGGATTTGGCACAATAGCAAGACCAGTGACAAATCTCACTAAGAAGGAGGCATTTGGGTGGTCTGTAAGCTCAAGATGCGTTTGAGGAGTTAAAGAAAGGTTTGTGTCAAGCACCAGTATTGGTTATACCATAATTTGACAAGCCTTTTGTGGTTGAAACAGATGTAAGCAGTAGTGGAATTGGCACTGTTCATATGCAAGAAGTTCATCTATTAGCTTATATAAGCAGACATCTTAAAGGGAAGCAACTTCATCTCTCTATCTACGAGAAAGAGCTTCTTGCAGTAGTGTTTGCGGCGCAAAAATGGAGATATTATCTGATCACAAGACATTTCGTGATAAAAACGGATCAAAAAAGTCTCAAATACCTTGTGGAACAACGCTTGAACACACCCATACAACAACAGTGGCTTCCAAAGTTACTTGAGTTTGACTATGAGATACAATATCGTCAAGGTAAAGACAATGGATTTGCAGACGCATTTTCTAGGGTCGATGGAGCAGAGATTTTACACATGGCGATGTTAGTGTTAGAATGTGATCTTATGAAGGAGATTAAAGAGGGTTATACAAATAATCGCACGAGACAGAGTATTGAGAAATTGAAGCAAAGTCCTAAGGCTAAGTGATTCTATTCTTGGGTTCAAAATGTGTTGAGAAAAAAAAGTAAGATTGTGGTTCCATCAGTGGGAGAGTTAAGGGGTAAAATCTTGCAGTGGTTACACGGATCTGGGGTGGGAGGCCATTCTGGTAGAGAAGCGACAATGCAGAGAGTGAAGGAGTTATTCTATTGGAAGGGTTTATCAAAGGAGGTTCAAGCTTACATCAGGGAGTGTGGAGTATGTCAGATGTGTAAGTATGATAATGCGGCTTCCCCTGGTCTCTTCCAATCCTTACCGATTCATGAGAGCATTTGGTCATATATTTCTATGGACTTCATAAATGGACTTCCTCTGTTTTTGGCAAATCAGTCATCTTTGTGGTGGTGGATCGTTTGTCTAAAGCAGCTCACTTTATGTGCCTTTCTCACCCTTACACGGCTTTGACAGTGGCACAATCCTTTTTGGATAATGTGTTTCGCTTACATGGACTTCCGAGAACTATTGTTAGCGACCGTGATGCAGTTTTCCTGAGCGGGTGTTGGAAGGAGATGTTTACCTTGCAAGGAGTTGGACTGAATTATTCGTCAGCGTATCACCCTCAGAGTGATGGACAGACAGAAGTGAGAAATCGAGGACTGGAGACTTACCTGAGATGTATGTGTAGTGACAGACCACATCTCTGGTCTAAGTGGATTCCATTAGCTTGAGTATTGGTACAATATCAATTTCCACACATCAACGTAGCTAACACCCTTTTAAGAAGTGTATGGTCAACCTCTGCCTATCCATTTCCCTTATCTACCGGGTGAATCTAAAGTAGCAGTGGTGGTTAAGACCTTACAGGAACGAGAGAACATGATACTAATTCTCAAGTTCCATCTTCTGAGGGCACAACATCGGATGCAGCAAAATGCAGATCTTCACAGAACAGAGAGAAGCTTTGAAATTGGTGATTATGTCCTTGTGAAACTCCAACCGTATCGACAGAAGTCATTGGTGATACGGTGTAACCAGAAGCTAGCTCCGGAATATTATGGTCCATAAAAGATTCTTGACAAATGTGGGAAAGTGGCTTACAAGTTGGACTTACCTCAACATCCTTAATCCATCCGGTTTTCCATGTTTCACAATTAAAGGAGCTAGTAAGAAATGTTCAAGTGGCAACCGAGTAACCAAGAGTGAGTTCTGATGTCTTACTAAAGGAACCTTAGTTGATTATAGAACGAAAAATGGTTCAAAGGCAAGGACAAGCTGCTACTATGGTGCTGGTTAAGTGGACTAATGAATCGGTTGCAGAAGTTTCTAGATGTTAAACCTTGAGGTCAAGGTTTTCTGGAGGAGAAGGATCTGTTCTGGGAGTTTAGGAGTGATGAGGTGGAGGAGAAGTTTCGTAGATGAGAAGAGAAGCGCGGAGGGAAAAAATCAAATAAATGAAGAGTGAGATGTTGACACATGTATGGCAGAAGATCGAAAAGTTTGTTACGAAAGTTGCAATCGATAAAACTATGCTTTCGTCTTTTTTGTAATTTTTTTACCCATAAAATTTGTAGAACTTTCTCTCTCTAAACTTCTGTAAATATTTGGATCTCATTCTAGTTGGAAGATTGATTCTCTTGCGATATCTTTGACCGGTGAGAAGGATTAGTTATTTTATGAACATTTAATCCTAGATCGATAGAGACTAATGAGTTTATTCTATCAGAAAGCTTCATAGATTAATAGGTTAACAAACTAATAAAACTATATGACTAGTAAAAATATAGAAATACATATGGTTTTATTAATATCATAGGAACTACAATATTTGATCATGTATAAACAATTTGTCTCAAATTTTATGGGAAACCATACCCACATAACTTTAATTTGAAAATTCAATATTCGAACTAGTTGAATTCTTAAGGGAAATTGGGTTCAGTAGCTATGAAAAAAAACTAAAATTAGTAATCTAGCCAAAAACTTATTCTTTCTCCCTTTTTCCTTCCTATCTCTCTCTACTATCTCTTTTACAAAACTAATTTTGTTTTTAGTTTATTTTTTATTTTAGCTATTTTACAAATAACTCCATATGGGGCTCTGAACTCCTAAAAGCTTAAGCAAATAACCTTTTTTATTTATTTTTGTTACATACTGCATGCTTAGGTTTTCTCGCCACGTCTTTTTGTTCTATTTGTATGTATTTATATACTTGGAGTTCCATCTCCATTATAATCACAACAAGTTCACAGTCACTAGTAGGTTCTGTTCTAAAAATTTGCCGTCTAGCCGTTTAGGCGGCCGTCTAGGCGCTAGGCGACTCTTTTCCACCTTGATTTATGTTAAATCACTGTAGAAAATCGGTCGTCTGATTTTAGCCTAGACCATTTAGCCGTTTAGGCGGCCGCCTAATCTATTTTTTAAAAAAAAATTAATAATATTTTTATCTATTTATTTGATCTAAAATTTAAAAAATATAATTTATAATTATAATTTTGATGAAAATTATAGCATATTAATTTGATATATTTTATTTGTGTGTTTTATAAGTTTCTAAACATGAAAATATATTAATATTATACATAATTAAAGATTAACATATTTCATATTATATCAAATAGTCTAAAAATTCCGTCCTATATAATTTCCGCTTAATTTTCGATTGTCTCTCTAGGCACTAGGCCCAACTGTACTGCCTGATTAACGCCTAGTGCGTTCCCAAACATCGGCTTGTAGGTCATTTGGCTGATGGGTCTACAGTGAATGAAAAATAAATATGATAAACTAGCTTGCAGTTTATTCTGTACATATTAGTATAAATTATTAAGGAGAATATTTGAGTTTTCCCAAAGCGAAAAATATACCTTTAGCCTTCTCGTGTTTTGGGATATTTCACTAATATACTCACCATTCGAGGTATATTTTAATTAATTAAACTGGTGACCCAGTATGCCTTCTTCTTATTTGCTTGTTTATTGCCAAAGGCACATTAGTTTATACCACCTGATCCTCGCATCATTAGAGTTTATTTATTAGTTTTATCATGCATATTATACTTTCCTAAACGAATCTGCGTCTGTTATATTCTTCTTCTCGTTCAAAAAGAGCTTCATAATGTACTTGTAGAAAATTTTTCAAAAAAGAAAACATGGTCGAATTTTTAAAAATAAAACTTATTGTTTTACCAAGAAAATAATATTTTAAAGCATATCCCCGTGAATACAGTTACCCGTTTTCTTTTAGTAAAATTAGTTTTAATCCATAATACATGATTATTAGAAGATAGAGAAGCAGTGGAACTGTTTAAAGATATAGTTTCGTTGGGAAAATGATCATTTTATTCCTCAACAATTTTAAATTAACACATTTATTCCCCAATATTGACTATGCAAAATAATTTCTCAAGTTAATGTTGACTCAACAAAATTGGACTTTGTAAAAGTCCACGTTAAGCATTTGACGGACATTGCTAGTCTAATTTGTTTGGTAACATCTCTTACTTTTATTTTCTTCCCCAACTTAAAAGTTTAAACTCTAAATCAATATTCAAAAGATAATTGAGGCGAATCTGGGTGAATAACATGATTACACCATTCTTCTGATTTGTTTATGGGTTCTCACGAGTTTCATGATTGATGGTAAGCTGATTATTACATTGACGCTAAGAAAAAAAGGATTTTTGGATTTGTGAGCATACTTCTTATTTTAGATTACAGTTTTAGTGTGTGTTGTTGTTTTTTCTTTCCTTTTCAAAAAAGAATTGAAAGCTTCGTGACGCTAGCGGCGTAGGAACTTGTCCCCCTCTTCACGCCACCGCTCCACTATGTAGTGTGCTCTGCATATGTCCTTCGCCCATGGTCTCATCTTCAAACCCCGCTCTTCTGCGACACAACCCTAGTTCCCATGACTCATCGACTGCTCCATGCTCACTGACGCTGAGCTTCACCAGCTCAACTTTCTGCGGCAAAAAATCTAGCAGATCTCGTCTATGCTTTTCTTCTGAGATTTAAGTCTAAAGCTTTTTAATGTTAGGGAAGGAAATAAGAAGCAAATTGTTAAAAAGAGACTTATCATTAGACTAACGATGTCAGTTAAGTATTTAACCTGGACTTCTTAAAAGTCCAATTTTGTTAAGTCAACATACACTTGGGGAATTATATTTGCCTAATCAATAGTTGGAGATTAAATGTATTAATTTCAAATAGTTAAGGAATAAAAATATCATTCCTAGTTTAGTTACGAATTAAAAGATAGATAAGTTAGTGAGCTCACCTACCCAAACACTTATGGGATAATTTTCCAATCTAAGCATTGAAAAGGCACTCCTTTCTTTCATACAATTAGCTGATTTGATAATGTACCTTTTGTATGGAATTTGGTATCCTACTTTTAATTGTATGTGACTGCGTACGCATACTGGCAATGGTTGGTTTATGCAGGAATGCTCAGACTATCTGTATAGTACAATGTCTACGTATTCAGACTTTGTAAGCAACATGATTTAAAGAATATTAATCCCTCCATATCAAATTAAATGTCGTTATAGCAGAATTTTTTTGTCACAAAAGAAGTGTCGGTTTATGATTTCAATACAATTTTCTCGATTAATTGACCTCTTTTACTTTTAATAAACATTATGTAATTATAATGGTCAAACAAGGGTAATTTTAAATATTTAATTATTTTCTTAATTTATGTGCAAAACTTTAGAGTGACAACTAATTTGAAATAGAGGGAGTAATAGCATACATACCACAAAGATATATCTTAGAGTAATAAATTTCATTAGTGAATAACTGAAACTTGTTTTATTTTTTCTGGTCAACCATATTAATTTTCAGAGGTTCTAGGCTTTGAAAATGGGACCTACAAAATAACTTACATTATTAATTCTCTAAGAAATCTATAATATTACTAGGGTTGGTCTGTCCTACGGGCGGGTTATAATAAAATTATTTTATATGAATTTATATTAATTTTATAAAGTATTTAAATTATTATAGATTGAAAATAAAATAATAAACAAATATATAATGATGAAGCCAAAGAAAAAAAAACAAATAATGAAAATAATTCTGAGATCGTATTTTTATTTTTAATAAATATTTTTGGTTTGATCAAAATGACAATAGTCTTCGTTATTCTCTATTTTTTAGAGAATAAAAATTAGAAAAAAAATCTCAAGTTTAAACAAATAATATTATATTTATTTCAAGAAGATCCAAATTTAAAAAAAAATATTTATACAAATTATTTCTTTCATGATAATAAAATAGTCTATCTCCAAACTAAATCAGTTAAAATATCATATAATTTGATAAAAAATAATTTAATCTCAAATTTTAAAATACTATATATATATATATATATATATATATATATAGTTTAATACTATCATAACTAATAATCAAGGTTTTCTAGTTTAGCATGAAAATGCTGTTTAGAATATATTTGTTTCAGATCATAATTATATCTGGAATTAAATATTAATTAAATTAGTGCTTTACTGGTTATGTTTTGTTGCTTATTTTAGCTTTGTTGAACTCTGTTAAATAGTAAAATTAATTGTTAAGAGTGTTTTCTCATGCTATTTTAATTTTTTTTTTTAAATAGTATTTTCTAAATTAATAAAATAATATACTTCTATAGCAGATTTTTACTTTAGTTACATAACAATTCATATCAAATAATTTGTTGGAGGAATTTAGAATGTAGAAAAACATAACCAAACAATGAAGAACTAAAATAATATTTAGTTTTTTTCTCAATTGAAAGTGATTTTAATATACAAGCACCATTTCTTTTTGTTATTCTTATTTCAAATTATAGGTTCCTAACTAATAAGACATTTTTCATTTTAATCATGTAATTATTTTACATTTCTTAATAGTTGTTTTGCCTCTATTCTAATAATAAATAAAATAAAATTGTTCAGAAATACAATTGCGATACACAAATCTTTTTTTCTCTAATATATATATATCTTTGAATAAATTTTACACATTTTATTTGGAATCTATTGTTCTAAATTATGCAAAAAGTAGACTTTATCATTTTCCATTTAACTTGATAACTTACCACATTACTATTTAAAGAATTACATATTTAGTTTTAAAATTTCTCAAATAAACCATATTATCTAAAATAATTAAGACTTTTAAAACAATTATTATTATATAATATTCAAGGTATAATTAGTGAATATATTACTTTTGATTTCCTTTTGTAATATAAGTTTCTTACATTGATTATATATCTATATATAATTATGGTTATGGACTTACAGGTAGGATTTATAATTAAATTAATTGCTGACCAGTTTGAGCTATGGTTAGGATTAAAAAGGAAGGAGAAGAGTATAATAACTTTGGGATGACTTAATAATTCTAGTAATAGACATGAAGACTTGGACCTCTGTTGTGAGGATCCATAAGCAATTTTATATGAGATGAGCCCGTATATAACATGTAATGACACTTCAGTGAGCAGGTTAAGAAGCACTTTGTAGTTGCACATGTGAGAAAAGAGAGCTAACAATATCCGACAATAAATATGTGTTTGCGTAGAGAAATAAGACTTGAAAGAACCCATATGAACCGTCTAGAAATAGAGCTGATTAAACAGTGGTTGGCAGGTACGCTCGGTTTACCTTATATGGAACCGAAGCACATGACCATAAGAACTTGATTATACAATAGTCTCACGAACCTGCAGTCCAATAAGTGAAGAGTCTTGTATTATTTTCACCATATAAATCCGGCTAACCTGTAGTAAAGCACTCATCAATCATTATACAGAACATGAGAATCAAAAATCATAATCACATTCCCTAGAAGTTAACATAGTGAACCTGCCAACCAGCTTCTATGCTGTTAAGGTCTGAATAAGTCACTGAAAGGTGAACTCATGTTGCTGCTGTATATTTGGCTCCCACACATTTATAGTTGCTTTAGCTCCATAGTAATTATTCCCTTTCACATAAGCTATCACATGCTGCAGTTCAACAAACCAAAACAAATAACACACCTTAGATCAAAACATCACTCGGTGCATTTATCATATCCATGCCATAACTGAGGGGTATGTATGTCCTTCTATTTCTGACGGCGTAAAAACACTT